CCAAATATATTCATGACGCAGAAACTTATCTAATAAGACCGTTTTGGGCTCCACGACTGGAGTAACTCAGTCAACGCGGCATGAGACGAACCGGTTTCTGTCAAGGCTGATTTGGCTGCGTTCTTCATCGCCTTGGTTTTCTCCCTAACCGGACCTTCCTGCACTATCTCGGAGACTCGTTTCTCCACCTCCGTCGAGCTCACGAAACCTGTCTCCGATTCATTCATCGGAATCGCAATCTTGATCTCCTCAACAATCACCACTCTGTTAAACCTTTGCTCAGCGTATAACGGCCAAGCCACCATTGGTACGCCTATTATGGTATACCAATCAAATCAACCAAACCGGCCTCTATGCATATAATTATGAAATTGAAATGTGTATATTATAACTTACCGGCGCAAACGGATTCAAGAATGGAATTCCAGCCACAATGAGTAACGAATCCACCGATGGCCTTATGATTTAGAACCGGAACTTGCGGAGCCCATGATTTGACCACCATTCCCTTGTTTCCGGTTCGGTCTAAGAATCCTTCTGGTAAGAGAGATTTTAAGTCCGGTTCTGTTTGGTTTCCTAACCCGGGTGGATTACGGACCACCCACAAGAATCTCTGCTCACTTCTCTCTAAACCAATAGCAATCTCCTTCACTTGTTCCTCGGAGAACAATCCCAAGCTCCCAAAACAGAAGAACACAACACTCTGTTCCGGTTGTGAATCGAGCCAACTCAGGCAAGAGTCTGTATTGTCGTCATGGTTATCTCCGGTTCTTCCATTTACAATGAGCGGACCAATCGGATAAATATTGCGAAAACAGATATCCTCTGTTATGGCCTTGATGGCTCTGTTTTCTAATGCCTCAAAGGTGTTGATAATGATCCCTGAAGAGTTTGAGAGCTGTTTAGAGAACAATATAAAAGCATCGTAAACCTCATCTTCGCGTTCGAGCAGCGGTTTAGGCATATCGGAGCCTTTTATCGGAGGAACCCCTGGTATGCTGAGTAACGTGTGGACGTCTTTGAGGTTTTTTCCGGCGGTTGTTTCGTGGAGAGTTGGGAGATGGAAGAAGGAGGCGAGACAGGCGGCTCCGGAGGTGAAGAAGTAGTAGACAGGGAAAGTGAAATCGGCGGTGATGTCTAAAACGGCGGTGCAGAAGAAGTCGATGATCATTGCTCGGAGATTGAAGTTCTGAGAGAGTGAGAACAGAGTCCGGTGGACATTTGGGTTGCTGAAACAGAGGATTTCTAGGATGAGTGACTCGTGGTGGTTTGGTGAAGTTGTGGAGGAGTACGGTGTGACGGTTGGGAGACGGTGGAAGGTGATTGAAGGGAAGGAGGAGGAGACGGTGGAGATGTAAGCCGCGGTTGATTCCGGTTAATAAGGCGGTGGAGCTAAGATGATGTGGATGGAGAGAGATGGGTTTTGGGAGAGGATGAGTTTGCCTAACTCAACCATGGACACTAAATGACCTATTGGTGGTGCTGGATACAAAACTATGGCTTCTTGTTTTTCCATGGCTCTTCTAAGGGTTTCTAAGCTTTGCTGCAAGAATAAAAACGAGATTGTGAAAATGGAAGATGATGTTTGATGATATGATTTTTATTAACTTTTTTTTGGAGGAAAAGACATAATGGATTATGGACCAACCGATGACATAGATAATGTATTCACTTTACGACAAAGAGAAATCACAAGTCACAAGTTGTAAAAACTTGAATATGGCAGCCGCGATACGCGAGTTTTCTTATACAGTTTTGTTCAATTTAATGACAAAACTTTTAACTAATCTAGTAGTTTTAAATTTAAATTGACAAAACGACCAACTTCTATAGATAAAATAATATTTGATCTAGATTAAAATGAAATTAATTATTTTTTAATTTATCGATAGTTCATATTTGAAATTAAATATGTATGTTTGAGATTTTGTTATATATATATATTATAGTTTTGTATTTAGCCACTCACAGTTTTATTGATCAATATGTTATTTTATACTTCCAAAAATCAAATATAATATTTTGAATAAATCAAGGATCCAAAATTTCACCTTATTTTTTTATTTTTAGTGAGAATGTTCAATATTTTGATGATGATGATATGACAAGTTTCACACGTATCTTTGATTGCCAAAAAGTTGATTTTAATCAAATGTTTTAGAACCATAAATTGCGGTCATAAAGCAACAAAATAATTTGTTTTGTTAGACTTAATTAAAGTGTTCATAATATTCTATTCTTTCTAATCATATTAGGTCTTTCGATGTTGCTGAAGGTAAATTGTAACGTTCCATGCCAAAATATGGCTAAATCACACTCATGTGCAATCTTGTGGACTTTGGCTTTGTAGTTGAATCATAAGCTGCGCTTCCTAACGTGGACAAATGTGTGTGAGTTTAGAACATCCACCACTGCATGAGCGTTTGTAAGAATTTTCTTCCCATAGATTGCAAATCTGTGCCGCTAGAAATGACTTCCTCAATTGTTTGCCACAGTCGAAGTTTTCAATACGCAATAAATGCAAAGAAGATCTTCAACACCGAATTAAGCATGTTCTTTTCGCTAGTTTTTTTTTTTATCATTTGAGAACCAAGAGAAGAAGAAGAGGCTGATTTGAATTCGCAAGTCATTTGAAAACTAGAAGGGCTGTTTGATTCACTTGAATACTTCTTTACCAATGATCACAAGAAATATTACCAGATGTGTTTCATTATGATCATTTGTTCCTCGTCCTTTATATCCATTTTATTCAATACATATATCCAGATAAAGTTTACTCCATCAGTGTATGAAACAGTGAAAGGTACATAAACATAACCTCAAATATG